GGAGAACATAATTCTTCCTACCATACTATGCTATTAAACATATAGAAATGTATACAGAGGTACAAATAGAAGTAATCACATACATGTATTTCTTAACTTTATCCATTGAGGTGGTTTTGGCACAGAACACCCAGCATCTCCTAGGGTTGTATTTCCAGAAAACAGATTTTGAGACTAGATGTTTCTTAGTTATTGTTTTGGGAACCAGAGAGTTGAAGGAGGGGATGAAGAAGGATAGGGCAAAAGGAGTAGTTCAGCTCTTTAGCAGACTCATTGAAGTCTTCAGCTGACTCCACAGAAAGTTTTGAAACTGGGATCAAAATGATGACTTCCTGAAGTAGAGCAAAGCAGCCCAGCTAAGCTGGTTTTAATAACCAGCTCATCTTTGTGGTGCTATCTCTAATAGGGGACATGATCTTGGCCAAGATAACATTTCATATGATGGGATATCTGTGTGTTTGACCATTTGAGGGCAGAGTTCTGAGCAGCTGAGATTTGGGCAGTGTATATCATGCCCACTACATTGGGCGTGTTTTTGTTCCAACACTTGGTGTTAAAGTGCCATCCTCCAGTAAAAGGAATTAGGGCTTTTTTAAAAACTGATTCCAATGGTGAAGTCCAAGATGAACTCAGGACATCTTGTTATATCTACAGTAAAGAGGGACTCAGATTGGGAGGAGGATTTGAGAAAGTAAGGAAAATTAGCTTTGAGGAGAGCCTACTAGTCAAATCTGAAATAGTTTAATTAATAATGATAGAGTATATAACACTGAATAAAATAGAATCTGCAAGCTTTTTAAAGATCGTGTAGATTTTTTCCTCTAAAATTTTCTTTGCTTATTTATTTATGTGAAAGAGGGAGAGAGGGAGAGGGAGAGAGAGAGGGAGAGGGAGAGGGAGACTAAATGAGTGAGTTAGAGAAAATGGTTCCATTTGAGGTTCGCTACCCAAATGCCCAGAATGGCTGAATTTGGGTGAGACAGAAGTTGGGTGCTTGGAACTCAATCTGGGACTATCATGAAGGTATCAGGGACCCAATTACTTCAGCCATTAGCTTCTGCCCCATGGGGTGCACATTAGTAGGACTTGGGGCAAGGCCAGAACTCAAACACTGGCATTCTGATATGGGATGCCCACATCTCAACTGGCATTTTAACTGACAAGCCAAACACGTGCCACCCCCATACTATGTAACTTAAATTTAAAAAATACAATAAGACAGTCTCACTACAGTAAAATGTCAAACAATACATTTGAAACAAATGATGAAATTTTATTTAAAAGGTACCATTTCCAACAACCAGAATAAAAATTAAACCAGACAAGAAAAATCAATAGATGCTTAAACTAATGGATGAATGCTTGGAGGTGAATGTGACATTTATATACATCAAAATATCTCAGCACCAGATCCTTGATAATTTCAAAGGGAAAAACAATAATTCTGTATAAGAGGAAATCTGGTAGATATCTCCTTTGTAAAAATGTTACCATTGACATTATTTAGTGATGGTTCAAATTGAAATTGTGTATCACTCAATAGGATGCAATAAGGAAAAAATCACTTCTGTCATATTTTGCTCCCCAAAAGGCATAATTTGAGTCCAATTGCGAGGAAATATCAGATAAATACAAACTGGGAGCTATTCCATAAAGCAGTTTGATTTAATCTTCAAAAATATCAAAGTTATCGAAGTCCAATGAAGACTGAAAAACTTTTCCAAAGTTAAGGAGACTAAAGGAGCGTGCACTCGTTATAGGGCAAATATTCACAGATTGAATAATTTTGCTACAAAGAATGTCATTTGGGCAACTAGCAGAAACTGCATATGTTCTGTGAATTAGACAGTAGAGAATATCAGTTTAATTTTCTAATTATCATGACCATCCCATTGCTACATAGGAAAATAACCTTGTTTATAAGATGGAAGGTGGAAGTGTACAAGGGCAATGGGTAATATGTGAATTACATCTTACTTCTAAATTACCCAGTTGATAAAAGGATCTTTTGTGCTATTCTTATGAGTTTTTTCTGAGTTTCAAATTATGTCAAAAGACAAAGGAAAACAACCATTTTAATTCAAAAGCAGCTATTTCCCTTTTTGAAGAGGTCAATAAAAGTGTTAATATCTCTATTTAAAAAGGGGGAAACTGAGGGAAAAGAATTTATATATATTCACATACTTAGTCCTTGGCAGAACTGGAATTAAAATCCTATTTACTAGGCCGGTGCTACAGCTCACTAGGCTAATCCTCCGCCTTGTGGCGCCGGCACACCAGGTTCTAGTCCCGGTCAGGGCGCCGGATTCTGTCCCGGTTGCCCCTCTTCCAGGCTAGCTCTCTGCTGTGGCCAAGGAGTGCAGTGGAGGATGGCCCAAGTCCTTGGGCCCTGCACCCCATGGGAGACCAGGAGAAGTACCTGGCTCCTGCCATCGGATCAGTGCGGTGCGCTGGCCACAGCGCGCTGGCCGCGGCGGCCATTGGAGGGTGAACCAACAGCAAAAGGAAGACCTTTCTCTCTGTCTCTCTCTCTCACTGTCCACTCTGCCTGTCAAAAAATTTTTAAAAAAATCCTATTTATTAATACTTTTAGAACAACCACTTCACTCTCATACATTACCAAACTGAAAGAAAGGAAGGGAAGGAGAAAGAAGATTTGGAAGCATGGAGGGACTATCTCTCTACTTTTTAACTTGATGTTCACTATGACTTGTTTATTTTGTGGTGACATTTCAGGTACATTCAACACAATCTTAGAGAGAAGACACTGATAAAAAGTGAAAATATTTAGTTACAGTATTTGATCCATGTGCCACTCTCATCCCCCATGCTGCAGATGGAAGGGTAATTACAGCCCATTACCAAATTACTTGCAGTTATCCTTTGATCTTGTAGTTAATACAGTGAACCATTATTTGCATAAATATTATTAGCATATTTCACATCACATTCTGATCTCTTTATGGAGTGACTGTTGCCTAGCTAGAGGATACCAACTTGGAATATTGTCCTTCTTCTTTCCAGCTCTCGCTAGGCGAAGTTTAAATTTCAGAAGCAGTGGCAGATGCAGATTGAGGAAGCCAGTGTGGCAAAACAGAGGAGTGTGAGCTGGGAAATAATGAAATTCTGGGTGTAGAACACAGCTTATATTTACATCTGTATCCACAGAACCCAGCATTGGTTATGTTGTTATATTTGTCATCTTCAATGAAGATCTCACACTTTATCCAGGATTAAGCTCATTCCTTTTTCAATCCCCAAAACTTTTCCAACAGGCCATCATCATCAACTTATTTATTGAAGCCCAAATCCTGGAAGTTATCCTTTAAAATTATCTTTCTCTCTTACCAACCATCTGTTAGTATATCCTATATTGCTATATTCCTCAATATCTCTCAAATCCATTTACTTCTCTGAATCTTTCCATATATCAGCTTAGTCCTTACAGCCATCATTTCACACTTGTGCAATAATGATAGTATTCCATAGTTCCTCTACATATGTATTTAATTTCTTCAGTTCCTTTTTTTATATAGCAATCAGAATTTGCCTTACATAATTCAGATTTGCTCTAGTGGTACAATGGTGTAAATATGCTTCAATTTCTTCCCTACATTTTTCATAAAAAAAATCTCAACTTTTATTTTTTGAAAGGCAGAGTTACAGAGAGGTGGGGGACGGGGGAGGGAGGAGAGAGAGAGAGAGAGAGGTCTTCCATCCATTGGTTCACTCTTCAACTGGCTGCAACGGCCAGAGCTGGTCCGATACAAAGCCAGGAGCCAGGAACTATGAGCTTTTTCTGGGTCTCCTATGTGGGTTCCTAGGACCACAGACTTGGGCCACCTGCCAATGCTTTCCCAGGCCATAGTAGAGAGCTGGATCAGCAGTGGAGCAGTAGCGACTGGAACCAGCACCCTTATGGGATACTGGCACTGCAGGTGGCAGTTTTACCCACTACACCACAGTGCCAGTCCCTCAGCTCTAAATTATGGCCCTGTGATACAGTCCAAACTTGTTCCTCCAACTTATACTTCTACCTACCTTCCCCTTGCCTTGTTGTCAAAGGGCCAGACACTGTTTATATCTGGAGATCTTTGAGTATAATACTCCTGCTTCATGTGATGTTCTTGCCCATGTTACCTACACTTCAATTAACATATTCAAGTCCTATTCATTTTTCAGGTCATGGCTTATCAATTATTTATGTTTTCAATCTATCTAATCAGTCCTCATATTTTGTACTTACTCAAAATGGATCTTGTTTTGTAGAACCTATGGCAATTTACACGCGTAAGTTAGTTATACACTCTATGCCTATTTCATTTTCTAGATTAAGATAAATTAGAAAACAGAAATCAAATTATTTACTACTTAATCCCAGTGTCTGGAGTGGTTCCTGGCCAATGTGGTTCATTAACTTTTTATTTAATGGATAATGAATGAACTGAACATCAGGAAAATAGTCATCAAAATACTGAGTTTCTGGTCCTAAATGTGCCTCTGATTTTATGAGTGGCATTAGATAATCACTCTCACAGTAATTTATTTTTAGTCAATTACATGATATCATTTGGGAATTATGACTTTGAGGTCTGGAAATGCAAGGAATAATATAAGGCAACATTTCTCTCCTCAAATCTACTAACATATCTGCTTCTACACCCACACAATGTTCATTTTCAGTTATAATACATATTACTGTCTAATAGCAAGCTATAGAAAATTATCCTGAAAGTATAGTCTTTGATGTTTCCTTCATAAGCCAAACTTTCCCATTTTATACGTGCAAGGGTATCATTTCCTTACTGTCATTTTTTCCTGTCTCCTGGGCTATATATTTCATCATTCAGACGTGCTATATATGATTTCATTTTTTATAACAACAGCAACCACAAAATTTCTTTGTCATTAATACTCTCCATTCCTAGTTATATTTTCTAATTCCCCTAAAAGCAAAACAAACCAAAAATGCCTTCCTCAAAAGAGTCATCTACACTTACCTTCCTGACCTCCTATCTTCACAATCTTCGTCAAACACTCCATTCGAATTTTATTCACAAAAACTTGCCTCTATTTTGTACTATTAGCTGAATATTTTTCTTGATATACTTTCTTCCTTTGGATCCTGAAAAATTGCTTTCTTTATCATTTGTTAAATATACTCACTGTTAATTTCTTTTTTAGTTTTCTATACTGGATCCTCTTCTTTGTTATGTTCAGTAAATATTGGAATTTCCCCAAGGCTCAGACCTAAGACCTTTCCTCTACTAAAAAAAAAATATATATATTTATTTAGTTAGTTAGTTAATTAGTTATATTTTTGTAAGTGGTATAGGATATAGGGAAAGCTATAGGGAGAAAAATCTTCCATCTGTTAGTTCATTTCCCAAATTCCTGCAACAATTGTGATGGGACTTGATTTAAGCCAGAGCAGAGACTTCATCTGAGTCTCCATCGTGAGTGGCAGGGACTTACTTTAAGTCATCATCCCTTGCTGCTCCCCAGGGTGTACAATAGCAAGAATCTAGAATCAGAACTTGACTCTGACACTCCAATCTGTGATGAAGACCTCCCAGGCAGTATCTTAACTGCTTTTCCAAATACCTGCCCTTCTCTTATTTTTTAAACATAAATATATAGATAATTGTATTTTATTACTTATGGTTTCAAATGCCTTCTATATGCTGTCAACTTCAAAATGTTTACATCGAATGCTAATGTTTCATGAACTCTCTAACTCTCATGGATATTCAATAGCCTTTTTGTATACACATTTGAATAACAGCTAGCTATCTCAAAATTAGCATAATTGAACTGAAATTGTTGAATATCTCTCCTAATCTGCTTCTCTACATTTATAATTTCAAGAAATTACTCCACTATTTTACTTGCTCACATCTCAAATCTTACATCACGCTTGATTCATTTTTCTTTTGTCTTTTATCTTCCCTGTGTCAAAGCATTCACCAAATTCTAAGTTCTACTCTCCAATTATCCAGAATCCATCTATTTCTATAAAGTTTGTTCACTACTATCTGAAATGATCCCAAATGGTCTTCATGATTTCACCTTGATCCTAATCTCTAATTTCAACATAGCAACTTTAGTGGTCCTTTTAAAAAATAATCCAGATTACAGCAGCTCAAAACTCTTTAGTAGTTTAAGTAATAATTAGCAACAAAATTTAAAAATCTTATCTTGACCCATAAAAGTCATCTTTGAATTTGAAACAGACAATATTTCTGGTCTTGTCTCATATATCCCTTCTCATCATTCATTGCACTCCTAGCGAATTTGGTATTCCTTCAATAATAGCCTAGGTTTTCTATTACCTCATAATTTTTTTAAACCTCATAATTTTTTTTATTTTATTTATTTATTTTTTTATTTTTTTGACAGGCAGAGTGGACAGTGAGAGAGAGAGACAGAGAGAAAGGTCTTCCTTTTGCTGTTGGTTCACCCTCCAATGGCTGCCGAGGCCGGCGCACCGCGCTGATCCAATGGCAGGAGCCAGGTGCTTCTCCTGGTCTCCCATGGGGTGCAGGGCCCAAGGACCTGGGCCATCCTCCACTGCACTCCCTGGCCACAGCAGAGAGCTGGCCTGGAGGAGGGGCAACCGGGACAGAATCCGGCGCCCCGACCGGGACTAGAATCCGGTGTGCCGGCGCCGCTAGGCGGAGGATTAGCCTAGCGAGCCGCGGCGCCGGCCCCTCATAATTTTTTTTAAATTTACTCTTATTCTAATACTGACACCATAAACAAGAGTGTCAATTTGTTAAGTCAACAACAGGAGTCACTGTGCACTTACTCCCCATGTAGGATCTTTGTCCTTAATGTGTTGTTCAATGTGAAGTAATGCTATAACTAGTACTCAAACAGTATTGTACACTTTATGTTTCTGTGTGGGTGCAAACTGTTGAAATATCTACTTAATATATACTAAATTGATCTCCTATATATAAAGAGAATTGAAAATGAATCTTGATGTGAATGGAATGGGAGAGGGAGCAGGAGATGGGAGGATTGTGGGGAGCAACTCGGACTAGACTAAGTTATTGGAATTAAGACTTATTCTATGCATCTGCTCTCCCACAATATGGCGCTGGGAGAGGAGCAGCAGCTTCTACCCAGCTGCCTCTCACCAACTTGACAAGCTGCAGGACCTGCTCCTGATTGGAGGAGAGCAGCGTACTCGGCATGTGGGTAGCAGAGTTGGGATTGGTGGAAGAGGACTATAAAGGAGGAGAGAGACAAGATGCATGAGGAACATCTAAGGGGAACATCTAAGGGGAACACCTGTGCAGCCCCTGAGAGAGCCGGCCGGCGGTGTGCCGCTCCCCTGTGGAAGTGGGGAATGTGGCAGGGGGAACCGCCCTTCCACGGAGGTGGAAGGGTCAGTAGCCAACCCTGGAAGAACCAGCAGCAAACCCGGGGAGGGCCGAGCAGACGAAAGAACAACGCAGGGTCCTGTGTCGTTCCTCCACGAAGACGGGGAGCGACAGAGGATTGTGGGTGGGAGGGAAGTTATGGGGGGGAAAAGCCATTGTAATCCAACAGCTGTGCTTTGGAAATTTATATTCATTAAATAAATGAAAAAAATGGTAAAAAAAAGATAATTAAAAATGAATCTTGGTGAAGAATGGGATGAGAGAGGGAACGGGAGATGAGATGGTTGTGGGTGGGAGGGTGGTTATGGGGGGAAAAAGCCGTGATAATCCAAAAGTTGTGCTTTGGAAATTTGTATTTATTAAATAAAAGTTAAAAAACATTTACTCTTATTGTAGATATCAATTATAAAATTGATAATTTGGAAGTCTTCTATGACCACAAATATACATATTTAGTATCTATTTTGCCTAGTGTTAGAATCCACTAATTTTATTATTACCCATCCCTCAATGCTGTTTCCTTCGTCTTTTACTTCTTTTTACTACCATTGGGCATATGCAGAATTGTTCTCCACTAAAAAGAAGGTTCACATGGCTTAAATAAAAGGTTGATTATGTAAGTTATTGCTTACTCTATGGGTCTATCTTGGGCAAGTGGCATGGAGAGGGGTTTGGTCAAAATAGTAAAGTCAAGGACAAAGCAAAACTTACCACCACAATGATAATATCATCGATTATTTTCTGAATAAAAAGAGTTCTTATCCAATTAAATTTGGCCATAATCTTGTATATCTCTTTGTGTGTTATTTCACATTGATCATATTTATTTTCTCTGCTGTGAACTGTCCACTTGTGTCCTACTCTTTTATCTATTAGATTTGTCCTCTTCATAATTAGGGGTTTTTAAAAAAATATTCTGGCAACTAATCCTTGATTAGCTGTATATATTGTAAATGTCTTCTACAAAATTCCCAATGCCTTCATTTGCTTCATGGTTTCTATTGATAATAAGGAAAATTATTTATTTTATTGGAGTCTAAGTGTTAGTATTCTCTTAAGTAGTTGCTACTTTTTATAACTGCTAATTTATGAAATCACTAGACTATAGTCCAAAAGATAATCATATGTGACCTTTCTAAATGTTTGAAAATTTTATTTTCAAGCCTGAGTACTTAATCTGTCTTGACTTGATATTTCTATAGGAAGTGAATCACAAGTCCAATTTTGTTATTTTGTACACAACTAACTACTTTATTAACTTCCATGTGGGGTATCATCCTTCCTTCCTCCAGTGATCTGACACTCCATTCACACACTGAAGTTCTATATATTTATGAATGTTTCAGGATGGACAATCTGTTCTATTGCTAAATTAGCCTCTCTCTCTCTCTCTCTCCCCCTCTCTTTTTTTTTTTTTTTTTTTTTTTTTTTTTTTTGACAGGCCGAGTGGACAGTGAGAGAGAGAGACAGAGAGAAAGGTCTTCCTTTGCCGTTGGTTCACCCTCCAATGGCTGCTATGGCTGGCGCGCTGCGGCCGGTGCACCGCGCTGATCCGATGGCAGGAGCCAGGTACTTCTCCTGGTCTCCCATGGGGTGCAGGGCCCAAGCACTTGGGCCATCCTCCACTGCACTCCCTGGCCACAGCAGAGAGCTGGCCTGGAAGAGGGGCAACCGGGACAGAATCCGGCGCCCCAACCGGGACTAGAACCCAGTGTGCCGGCGCCGCTAGGCGGAGGATTAGCCTAGTGAGCCGCGGCGCCGGCCAAAACCATGGTATTAATATGTACCTTGATCAATTTATCTTTCATGGATAATTTTTGAATTCTAAATATGTGGAAGTCTTGCACATTATGATTATAGTGGAGTTGGAGCATGAAGTAAGATGGAGAAGTACAGTGATGAGATGAGAAAGGGTCAAATTATTTATAATTTTATAATGACGCTAGGCGGAGGATTAGCCTAGTGAGCCGCAGCGCTGGCTAGCCTCTATTTTAAATATTGTTTTATATATTCCTACTTTATAATATGCCCTGAAATCTAGAAGGATAATATTTTCCTCAAAACTTTCTTGATTTTTCTTATCCCAATGAAATTTTCAATGTTTTTGTTACAATTTTTCAAGGAATATGTTTTAAACCTTCTCTTACAAGATATAGAGTGTCTTCTATCTATGTGTTTTCTAATAGAAGTTTTGAAACAAATACCTTTCTAAATAATTCCTACATTCATCAACTTTGAAAAATGCTTGTAAAATTTAAATTTACTTATTTATAGGTCCAAACACTTTTATATATAATCATAGGTTTTCATTGTTTAAAATTTAATTATTTTTAAAATTTTTTAGGTTTTAACCGGATAAATATAGTTCATAGATACATTTCTGAGAGTATAATGATATTCCATTTGTAGAGGTTTCTTGATCATTTTTCCAATCCTTATGCTTCTAATCACTTCTTTGAATTTATTACTGAGATTAACACCTACACTGTAATCATGAATGGAGTGAGCAAAAATATTTCCATCCTTTTCAGGTGAGTCAGTGGCTTAGGTCAACTATTTATACCAAAACATTAATTCATAGATCTTCAAAGAAAGAGAAAAGAGAAAATTGTTGTAATGTCCTTATTAGTGGAAATTATATTAAGAAGTGACAAAAGATGATGTACTACTATACAAATATGTTAGTTCTGGGAAAGAGTAGCTTAATCCATAAGTAAAATATGACCCAGAAAAAGTCTGCACTCTGGAGGCTGGTGCTGTGGCTCAGCGGGTTGATGCCCTGGCCTGAAGTGCCAGCATCCCATATGGGTGCCGGTTCTGGTCCCAGCTGCTCCTCTTCCTATCCAGCTCACTGCTGTGGTCTGGGAAAGCAGTGGAGGATGGCTCAAGTCCTTGGGCCCCTGCACTCATGTGGGAGACCCAGAGGAAGCTCCTGGTTCCTGGCTTTGGATCGGCGCAGCTCCAGCCGTTGCAGCCATCTGGGGAGTGAACCATCGGATGGAAGACCTCTCTCTCTCTCTCTCTCTCTCTGCCTCTCCTCTCTCTGTGTAACTGACTTTCAAATAAATAAATAAATCTTAATAAAAGTCTGTTTTTTTTTTTTTTCAAAAAAAGTCTGCACTCTGATTAAACAGATCATCACTGATTCCTCTCTTTAGTGAGGTGATGATCTTTGAATGCACTGATGTATCAAATCTGAAGTGATGGGCAATGTGGTTCTCTATCAGGAATGGTTTAGAATCTACAACCCTGAAACATGCATACACACTTCATCACATCCTCTCCATTTTGTTTAGCCAGTGCTATGTAATATAACATATTTTGTACTGCTAATGGATCTAAGGCATTGGCAGAGAGGAAAGAAAGAAAAAAAAAATTGTGATACAAATAATAACATTAAAAAGAAATGAAAGAAAGTCTCTGCATCTATGTCTGAGTGGGTCTTTATCCACTTTAGTCCCCAGATCCCAAAGTTTTTAAAAGCAGTTACTCAGCCGGCGCCGCGGCTCACTAGGCTAATCCTCCGCCTGCGGCGCCAGCACACCGGGTTCTAGTCCTGGTAGGGGCGCTGGATTCTGTCCCGGTTGCCCCTCTTCCAGGCCAGCTCTCTGCTGCACCCCATGGGAGACCAGGAGAAGCACCTGGCTCCTGCCATCGGATCAGCGTGGTGCGCCGGCCGCAGCGCGCCAGCCGTGGCAGCCATTGGAGGGTGAACCAACGGCAAAAGGAAGACCTTTCTCTCTGTCTCTCTCTCTCACTGTCCACTCTACCTGTCAAAAAATAAAAAATTAAAAAAAAAAGCAGTTACTCACGATATCTCTTGCTCATATAGCTCTCTGATTAAAATGTGCTGTGCTGGTTTTCTTATCCTTTGAAGCGCTAAGTGCCATATGGTGAGCTGGTTAGTACTAATGTGTTAGTGACT